TCACTGAGACCCACATAAAGGATCACTTGGACAACGAAATATGGATCCCAGGTTACAACCTATACAGATGTGACAGAGTGAACAGGCAAAAGGGGGGGGGGGGGGTTGGCCTGTACATTGCAGAGTCACTTGTTTGCACAGAACTGCTAAATGCCTCAAATGACGTAGTGGAAGTTTTAGCAGTAAAGGTCGAGAACCAAAACCTAGTCATTGTGGTAGTCTACAAGCCTACGGATGCAACATCCCAGCAATTCCAGGAACAGCTGTTAAAAATTGACCACTGTCTGGAAAATCTTCCAGCTCCTGCACCAAACATCTTGCTCCTGGGGGATTTCAACTTAAGGCACCTAAAATGGAGGAATATAGCAAATAATATTGTTGCAGAAATAACACCAGGAGGCAGCTCTGATGAAAACTCACACGCACGCGAGCTTTTAAATCTCTGCACAAAATTCAATTTAAACCAGCAAATAATAGAGCCTACTAGACTGGAGAATACACTAGACCTCATCTTCACTAACAATGATGATCTGATAAGAAATGTCACCATATCAAAAACAATATACTCAGATCACAACATAATTGAGGTTCAGTCATGTATGCGCGGAGCCCCAGACCGACATAATGAGATTAGTCACGAGGGAGCATTCACCAAATTCAACTTCAATAACAAAAACATAAAGTGGGACCAAGTAAACCAAGTCCTAACCGATATAAGCTGGGAAGATATACTAAGCAACACAGACCCCAACTTATGCCTAGAACAGATTAACTCGGTGGCACTCAATGTATGCACAAGGCTTATTCCTCTAAGAAAAAGGAGGAGTAGATGTAAAATAGAAAGAGACAGGCGCTCCCTTTACAGGCGACGGAAAAGAATAACAGAGCGGCTAAAAGAGGTCAATATATCTGAAATGGTAGGGAGACACTGGTCAGAGAAATAGCAAGCATCGAACTTAAGCTAAAAGAATCCTTTAGGAGTCAGGAATCGCGGGAAGAACTAAAAGCCATAAATGAAATCGAAAGAAACCCAAAGTATTTCTTCTCCTATGCCAAATCAAAATCGAGAACAACGTCCAGTATTGGGCCCCTACTTAAACAAGATGGGTCCTACACAGATGACAGCAAGGAAATGAGTGAGCTACTCAAGTCCCAATATGACTCAGTTTTTAGCAAGCCGCTAACCAGACTGAGAGTCGAAGATCAAAATGAATTTTTTATGAGAGAGCCACAAAATTTGATTAACACAAGCCTGTCCGATGTTATCCTGACGCCAAATGACTTCGAACAGGCGATAAATGACATGCCCGTGCACTCTGCCCCAGGGCCAGACTCGTGGAACTCTGTGTTCATCAAGAACTGCAAGAAGCCCCTATCACGAGCCTTTTCCATCCTATGGAGAGGGAGCATAGACACAGGGGTTGTCCCACAGTTACTAAAAACAACAGACATAGCCCCACTCCACAAAGGGGGCAGTAAAGCAACAGCAAAGAACTACAGACCAATAGCACTAACATCCCATATCATAAAAATCTTTGAAAGGGTCCTAAGAAGCAAGATCACCACCCATCTAGAAACCCATCAGTTACACAACCCAGGGCAACATGGGTTTAGAACAGGTCGCTCCTGTCTGTCTCAACTATTGGATCACTACGACAAGGTCCTAAATGCACTAGAAGACAAAAAGAATGCAGATGTAATATATACAGACTTTGCAAAAGCCTTCGACAAGTGTGACCATGGCGTAATAGCGCAAAAAATGCGTGCTAAAGGAATAACAGGAAAAGTCGGTCGATGGATCTATAATTTCCTCACTAACAGAACACAGAGAGTAGTCGTCAACAGAGTAAAGTCCGAGGCAGCTACGGTGAAAAGCTCTGTTCCACAAGGCACAGTACTCGCTCCCATCTTGTTCCTCATCCTCATATCCGACATAGACAAGGATGTCAGCCACAGCACCGTGTCTTCCTTTGCAGATGACACCCGAATCTGCATGACAGTGTCTTCCATTGCAGACACTGCAAAGCTCCAGGCGGACATCAACCAAATCTTTCAGTTGGCTGCAGAAAACAATATGAAGTTCAACGATGAGAAATTTCAATTACTCAGATATGGTAAACATGAAGAAATTAAATCATCATCAGAGTACAAAACAAATTCTGGCCATAAAATAGAGCGAAACACCAACGTCAAAGACCTGGGAGTGATCATGTCGGAGGATCTCACCTTCAAGGACCATAACATTGTATCAATCGCATCTGCTAGAAAAATGACAGGATGGATAATGAGAACCTTCAAAACTAGGGAGGCCAAGCCCATGATGACACTCTTCAGGTCACTTGTTCTATCTAGGCTGGAATATTGCTGTACACTAACAGCACCTTTCAAGGCAGGTGAAATTGCCGACCTAGAAAATGTACAGAGAACTTTCACGGCGCGCATAACGGAGATAAAACACCTCAATTATTGGGAGCGCTTGAGGTTCCTAAACCTGTATTCCCTGGAATGCAGGAGGGAGAGATACATGATTATATACACCTGGAAAATCCTAGAGGGACTAGTACCGAACTTGCACACGAAAATCACTCACCACGAAAGCAAAAGACTTGGCAGACGATGCACCATCCCCCCAATGAAAAGCAGGGTGTCACTAGCACGTTAAGAGACCATACAATAAGTGTCAGGGCCCGAGACTGTTCAACTGCCTCCCAGCACACATAAGGGGGATTACCAACAGACCCCTGGCAGTCTTCAAGCTGGCACTGGACAAGCACCTAAAGTCAGTTCCTGATCAGCCGGGCTGTGGCTCGTACGTTGGTTTGCGTGCAGCCAGCAGCAACAGCCTGGTTGATCAGGCTCTGATCTACCAGGAGGCCTGGTCACAGACCGGGCCGCGGGGGCGTTGACCCCCGGAACTCTCTCCAGGTAAACTCCAGGTAATAGTGGAGGGAGTGGTTGACACATCGTCAGTGTGGCTTTGTTTATGCTGGAGTGAGCATTAGTCTCCGTGCTCTTCCAAACATTTCACAATAATTCATTGTTTGGTGCTTGTAGATTGAGTGCGACTAGAGTGGTAGCGGCAGCGGTTGAGGCAGCGGTTGAGGCAGTGGGTGAGGCACTGGTCGAGGCAGCGATTGAGGCAGTGGTTGAGGCAGCGGTTGAAGCAATAGTAGTGGCAGCGGTTGAGGCAGTGGTATTTAATAACATATATGTTGTTAATAATAATAGTACATGTTATTATTAGTAACATGTATTATTATTATTATTATTATTATTATTAATAACATGTATGTTATTAAATACCACTGCCTCAACCACTGCCTCAACTGCTGCCTCAACCACTGCCTCACCCACTGCCTCACCCACTGCCTCAACTGCTGCCTCAACCACTGCCTCTACCACTCCAGTTGCACTCAATCTACAAGGACCAAATGCAATGAATTATTGTGAAATGTTTGGAAGAGCACGGAGACTAATGCTCACCCCAGCACAAACAAAGCCACACTGACGATGTGTCAACCACTCCCTCCACTATTGCTTCAACCCTCGTATTTTTGTACAATTTCCTTCTTCAATTCTATTGTATTTATTATTATTATTATTATTATTATTATTATTATTATTATTATTATTATTATTATAATTGTTATTATTATTATTATTAGCAGTAGCAGAAATGTTTGATTCTTTGCTGTGTTCAAGAGTAAACACACGATGTCACCGTCCAATGCATGTCCGAATAGCCATTCCAATATGCAGTCATGAATGGGTTTACATTATTTATACTGTAGTTTAATAGCAAATAATGAGCAAACAAAACACTCGCCAAACAGTTGTGGGAGGACTGGCTGCCAATTGCAGGGGTCGGAGGGAGGGTAGTAGGGACTCACAGTGGTTGAGGCAGTGGTGGAGGCAGTGGTATTTAATAACATACATGTTGTTAAACCATAATATGTATGTATTTAGTACAATTTACGACGTTTTCACGTATTTTATGATTGTTCATGGTTCAACAAGTTAAGGAAGCAGTATTGTATTATACATGTATTTCCCTACAATATATTGGGGCACCAAACATTCGCGATTTTTCAACATTCGCGAGGCTCTTGATCTCCTAACCCTCGCGAATGTTGAGGGAGACCTGTATTTGGGAGTAGTTTAGCCAGCAGATGGGTTTATGAAGGATAGGGTTAACCATATAATTGATGAAGAAAAAAAGGTGAGTGGTTCATTGAGGTATCTGTGGAGACCAAAAAACATTATCCATGAAGGCAAAGAAGGGAATGTACAAGAGTATAGTGATACCAACACTTATATGGGTGTGAAACCTGAGTTGTGAATGCTGTCGTGTCTAAGGGCAATGTGTGGTGTAAATATTATGCAGAGAATTCATAGTGTGGAAATTAGGAGGTGGTGTGGAGTTACTAAAAGTATTATTGAGAGGGCTGAAGAAGGGTTATTGAGGTGGTTTTGTCATTTAGAGAGGATGGAGCAAAATAGAATGACTTGGAGGGTGTATAAATCTGTAGTGGAAGGGAGGAGGGATAGGGGTTGTACTAGAAAAGGATGGAGAGAGGGGTAAAAGAGGTTTTGTGTGCAAGGGTCTTGGACATACAGCAGGCGTGTGTGAGGGTGTTAGATAGGAGTGAATGGAGGTGAATGGTTTTTGGGACTTGACGAGCTGTTGGAGTGTGAGCAGGGTAATATTTGGGGAAGGGATTCAGGAGAAACCGGTTAGCTGGACTTGAGTCCTGGAGATGGGAAGTACAATGCCTCTGCTTTAAGAGTTGAGTTTGGGATATTGGCTGTTTGGAATGACAGCTGAACCGTTGTATTCGGGTGCCTTTTGAAAAATAGTGATTGTGTGAATGGTGGTGAAAGTGTTTTTTTTTTTTTTGGGGGGGGGGGGGGTCACCCTAACTCGGTGGGAGATGGCCAACATGTTAAAAAAAAAAAAAAAAATTATGGCTGTGATGGCTCTATTTCTTTTTTTCTTCCAGAGTCAGCATTTTGGCTGCCTCTTGGATTCAGGGGTATCAAACCAATCTATCCCAGTTGTGTTACCAGTATCTACTGAAGATAAAGAGCTGCTTGATGGATGCTCAGCCTTTACATTGCGTTATGATGGTCAGCCAGTTGCTATTTTGAGAAAACCAGAGTTCTATGAGCACCGCAAGGAAGAACGTTGCGCTCGTCAGTGGGGTAAGTTACATTTAAGTCTGTTTGCTATGTCACTAATACAGAAAGCTGTAGTTGATAGACATAAATAACACTTGGAAACATTATTTACACAGCATTTTGTTTATGCAGTAGTATTTTTCAAGTATGATAGCTCATAACTTGGCAGTAGTACAATTTATAGGCAGGAGAGAGGAACATTGTCAGGTATTAATACAAGAAAGTAAGCATATATGTATGTGAGAAGCATCACAGTAGAGCTGTTGTCCCATGTAAGGTAAGCGACTCATTGGTGTGTTGAGTGGCACTGGTGGTAGTAGTAGTAGTAGTTGTAGTGGTGGTAGTTGCTAGTTTTCAGATGTGTACTTGGTGTATATCTGAATTGCTAAAGGTTTTGCCATTTGGAAGCTGACTTGGTTCTGCGTGACAGTTTGATGTTATGATGAGAGTGGTTCGTAGTATAGTACTGTATTTCCTTTTGTATTTTCCCTTTCTTTCATTATTTTTTTTGATTAACACATTGGCCGTCTCCCACCAAGGTAAGGTGGCCCGAAAAAGAAAAACTTTCATCATCATTCGCTCCATCGCTGTTTTGCCAGAGGCGTGCTTACACTACAGTTATAAAACTGCAACATTAACACCCCTCCTTCAGAGTGTAGACACTGTAACTTCCCATCTCCAGGACTCAAGTCCGGCCTGCCGGTTTCTCTGAATCACTTCATAAATGTTACCTTGATCACATTCCAACAGTACATCAAGTCCTAAAATCAATTTGTCCCAATTCACTCCTATCTAACACACTCACGCATGCTTGCTGGAAGTCCAAGCCCCTCACACACAAAACCTCTTTTACCCCCTCCCTAAGTTTTTAATCAGAGAATCTCATCAGATGATCATGTGAAGTCCTACGTTGAACACACACACTGTTCCCATTATAGAGGGGTACTTTACACTACAGTTATAAAACTGCAACATTAACACCCCTCCTTCAGAGTGTAGACACTGTACTTCCCATCTCCAGGACTCAAGTCCGGCCTGCTGGTTTCTCTGAATCACTTCATAAATGTTACTTTGCTCACACTCCAACAGCACATCAGGTATTAAAAACCATTTGTCTCCATTCGCTCCTATCAAATATGCTCATGCATGTTTGCTGGAAGTCCAAGCCCCTCGCACACAAAACCTTCTTTACCCCCTCTCTCTAACCCTTCCTAGGCTGACCCCTACCCTGCCTTCCCTCCATTACAGAATTATACACTCTTGAAGTCATTCTGTTTTGTTCCATTCTCTCTATATGTCCGAACTACCTCAACAACCCCTCCTCAGCCCTCTGGATAATAATTTTGGTAATCCCACACCTTTTCCTAATTTCCGTGCTACGAATTCTCTGCATTATATTCACACCACACATTACCCTCATACATGACATCTCCACTGCCCCCAGCCTTCTCCTCGTTGCAACATTCATCACCCATGCTTCACACCCATACAAGAGTGTTGGTACAACTATACTCTCATACATTCCCCTTTTTGCTTCCACAGACAAAGTTCTTTGTCTCCACAGACTCCTAAGTGCACCACTCACCTGTTATTCTCATAGCCTTACTCTTTCCTATATACACTTTTAATTTTCTTCTTTTACATACCCTACCAAATTCATCCACCAACCTCTGCAACTTCTCTTCAGAATCTCCCAAAAGCACCGTGTCATCAGCAAAGAGCAACTGTGACAGCTCCTACTTTGTGTTTGATTCTTTATCTTTTAACTCCACACCTCTTGCTAAGACCCTAGCATTCACTTCTCTTAAACCCCATCTATAAATATATTGAACAACTACGGTGTCATCACACATCCTTGTCTAAGGCCTACTTTTACTGGGAAATAATGGAAATAAAATTAATCCATTCCAGAAACTCAAAAATATTCACAAAAAATTACATTTTATAGATCGTATTACATTATAGTTTTATATACATGCAACAAATATAGTGTACAGTTATTAATAAATTTAAATAAACATTTAAAATAGCATTTTTACTTACCTTTATTGAAGATTGGTGATGGCATCTGGAAGATAGGGAGGAGGAGAGAGGGAGTTGGGGTTAGTGAAGGGGAATCCCCCTCCATAAGGACTTTAGGTATCAAAGCCCTCTCTGAGGTTTTAATGCCACTAGGACCAGCTTGAGAGTCACTGGATCCCTGTCTCTCAAAATAACTGTCCACAGTCCTCAGTTTCTGGCACCTCTGTAAGATTTCCCTAAAATGGGACATGGTTCTGTCACTGAATTTGTTGCAAAGATGACTTGTTTGAGCTTTCTCAGAGTGGTACTTCTCCACAAACATTTGGACATCATTCCACTTGGTGCAAATCTCCTTAATCTTCCTCCTCCTCTGAAGCAAGTTCCTGAGCTATGGTCTGATACTGTTCCAGATGAAGCTCTTCCAGCTCTTCATTGGTTAGCTCTTCCCTGTGGTCCTCCACCAAATCTTCCACATCCTCACAACTCACCTCTAGGCCCAGGGTGTTCCCCAATGCCACAATAGTCCATAACAGGCAGAGAGTCAGCTGGGTCAGGGTTAGCCTCAAACCCTTCAAAATCCCTCTTTTGGACACAATCTGGTCACAGTTGTCTCCAGGCAGAGTTCAAAGTCCTGGAAGTAACTCCCTCCCAAGCCTTACCTATAAGGCTTATGGAGCTGTTGATATTGAAGTGATTTCTCCAGAACTCTCTTAGGGTCAACTTAGTGTCTGTGGTCACTTCAAAGCACTTTTCAAACACTTCTTTTGTGTAGAGTTTTTTGAAGTTAGAAATGACCTGCTGGTCCATGGGCTGGAGGAGAGGAGTGGTGGTAGGAGGCAAGAACTTCACTGTAATGAAACTAGTCCCTAGACAGTAGGTCTACCAGGTTTGGAGGATGTGCAGGAGCATTGTCCATTAACAAGAGGCACTTGAGTGGCAAACTATTGTCTATGAGGTATTTTCTCACACTGGGGCCAAACACTTCATGGACCCACTCTTTGAAAATTTGCCTTGTGACCCATGCCTTATTATTTGCTTTCCACAACACACACAGTCTATTCTTGACGACATTGTTTTCTTAAACTCTCTGGGATTTTCTGAATGATACACAAATAAAGGCCTCACTTTAAAATCAACACTAGCATTAGCACAGTATAAAAGAGTTAGCCTGTCTTTCATAGGCTTGTGTCCTGGGAGTGCCTTTTCCTCCTGAGTAATGTAGGTCCTCTTTGGCATTTTCTTCCAAAACAGGTCTGTTTCATCACAACTGAACACTTGTTGGGGTTTGAATTTTTCAGTGTCAACATAAACCTTAAACTCCTGTACAAACTTCTCAGCCGCCCGTTTGTCTGAACTGGCTGCCTCACCATGCCTTACAGCATTGTGTATGCCACTATGCTTCTTAAATCTGTCAAATCAGCCTCTGCTGGCCTTAAATTCATTATTAGCACTGGTTCCAGGAGTTTTCTGTACCAGATCGGCATGCAGCTTCCTTGCCTTTTCACAAATAATCGTCTCTGAAACACTATCACCTGCCATCTCTATTCTTGATCCACACCAACAACAACTCAACCTGATTGATTGTCTGTTGTCTTTTTTTTTAGTTAGCATATTAACACCTTTCGCAACATCAGCTTCCTTGATTTGTTCTTCCTTTGCCAGGATAGAAGCGATGGTCAACTTGTTTTTCCCATACATCCTGGCAAGCTCAACAAGTTGCACACCACTCTCATACTTCTGTATTATTTCCTTCACATCTATGGTGTTTCTCACTTTCTTTACCACAGGGGTACCACTAGCAAGTTTCTTTGGGCCCATGGTCGCTTATTTCACAGTTCCACAAGCACTAAACACAATGAATTAATTGTAAAATGTTTGAATGAGACCACAGGTTAGTGTTCACTTAAGCATCAACGAAGTCAGACTGGCTCTCGGCTCCTGCACAGGAACGCAGACAGTGTGTGCTGGCGGACAGGTCTGGTACCCGGCGGTTCGAGAGAAGGGGCGAGTTCGATAATAGGGACAAAGTTGGTTCGAAAAAAGCGGTTGATTTTTGAAGATTTCAATAAGCGATACGTTTAAAATTTGAGGTTCCACTGTACAATGCCAAAATTCCAACGGCTTCAAATCTTGCGGGAGGAAGCTGGTAGGTCTACATATGAGAGAATGGGTCTGCGTGGTCAGTGCATCCAGTATAAAAAAATTCCTGCAGCACACAGTGCAGAGTGAGGAAAAAAAAACTGACAGTGTTTATGGTTTAAGACAGCGAATTTGCGGTGTATTTTGTATGGTATTTATGGTTGTACTATTCTCGTTTTCCTGTTCTCATTTGTTAGAATGGAAGATATATTACAGAAATAAAGGTGATTTTGAATGGTTTACTCACTAAAAGTAGCTTGAAATTGAGTTCAAAGTAGAGGTAATGTTAGATTTTTGACAATATTCAAAAGTTAAACAAATCATATCTGGTGTCGAATACATGACAACTGGTAGGTATAATATGCATTCAGGAATGTGCTGATATTTCTTTTTTTCTAACAAGTCAGCTGTCTCCCACCAAGGCAGGGTGACCCAAAAAGAAAGAAAATCCCCAAAAAGAAAATACTTTCATCATCATTCAGCACTTTCACCTCACTCACACATAATCACTGTTTTTGCAGAGGTGCTCAGAATACAGCAGTATTCTGAGCCACTTTTTTAGTACAAATCAGTGTACACGAAACTTTTGCACAGCCCTCCAAATAAAAAAAAATTCAAAAGGTATAATTGAAAAAATGGTAGTACTATATATTTTCATTACAGTTGTAAATGAATAATGTACCATATATATGGTAATACATATTTTATGAAAAAGAGGGTAAATATACAAGGTATGATATAGCACTTAATGAAAGTAGTTTGTTAGATTGTGTTGGTGGATAAAAGGTTGATGGGTAGGCTCCAGGATGTCCATGGTTATAAAGGGGCAACTGATATATCGGATCATTATTTAGTTGTAGCTA